CACACACACACACACCTCTCTGATTGGCTGACACAGAAACAACAAGGTCGGGAGCCAAACCCCTGCTATTTAATAAAATAAAAATCAATGAATTAACTTTGACTGAGAACAATAATTCCCTCGATAAATGCAGAATTATTTGAGGAGTGATTGCTTTGCATAACCACTAAAAGAATGACTTCGTCATGCAACAAATACTGTTTGTGCTCAGCTAGAGTAAAGTTAGGACACAGCTTCCTGTTTATTTTAAACCAGAGGGGCATCCAGGACTTTCACTGGAATGTAATGTATATTTTATGCACTTTAAAATGACACATAAAAGACTATACTGCCAAACGTTTATTTTACGTGATGTGAATGTTTATGAAGCATTCACACTATTGTGATCCATTTTCTTCTGTACATTTTTGTTGCATTTCTCGTCCCGCAGTTTTAAACTATTTCAACAAATCATAAATCAAAACATTCAGCTCTTTCAGGACAATCCTGCTATGACTTTTGGTATTGGTGCAACTTTAGCTTTTTAAAATATATAGCCTTTTCTAAATTTTTTATCATAAAAAATGAATTGAGCTAATTTTGCATACTTCACATCTTTAGATCTGTTTACAACCTTTTACTGCTCCTTTCACATTTTGTTCTGCTTCAGCTTCTTTCAGCTTCATTGGGCAAATTAAATTTAAAAAAATCTGCTACTTTCAGCAATGGTAATTTCAGCTGCTTCGTCAGCTGTTTTGTGCTCCTTTCAGATTCTTTCCGCTAACTGAATTTTTTTGTGCTTCTTCTAACTTCTTTCTGCTAATTTTAGCTTGTTATGCTCCTTTCAGCTTATTCCTGCAAGTTTCAGCTTTTTCTATTTCTACTATTTCAGCTACTACTACTATAGTTGTTTTATGCTAATTTAAGCTGTTTCCGCTAGTTACACGTGTTTTGCACTCATTTAAACATTTTTCAGCTTAATTCAGCAACAATGTGCTCTCTCCACTTCCTTCTGACAATTTAAGCTTCTTTCTGCATTTTAACTACTTTTCAGCTGTTTTTTTTGTTTGTTGCTAATTTCAACTTTTATCAGTTAATGTCTACTTTTTTGTGCTAATTTCTGCTTCTTTTAGCATAATTGGGCAAACATGTTCTTTCTGCTTTCTTCTGCTAATTCAAGTTTGTTCTACCTGTTCAGCTACATTTTTGAAAAATTGTAGCTAATTTCAGCTGTTTTCAGAAATATTAAAATTTTTCTTGGTAATTTCTGCTAATTTCAGCTTGTTGTGCTCCTTCCAGATTTTTTCAGCTAGTTTCAGCTTTTTCTACAATTTCAGCTACTATTTAGCTGCTTTTATGTAAATTTTAGCTTTTTCAGCTAAATAATAACTAGAAAATATCATGTTTTAACTTGTTGACATTTCTTTTAAGGTAAATTTGAAGACAAGTTGTATTAACCTGCCTAATCTTATAAAATAATACATTTAAGTATTAATTACATTTTCATTGATCTGATAGGAAGAAAATAAAAACCTGTCTCTGATTAGAGAGTCAGAAAGTAATTTGTGGAGTGTGTTGGTGTGATTTGTTTATCTGTATTAGTCATGATCCTGCCTTGTGTTTCAGTTTAAAAGATGCAGACTGTGTCCCCCTTAAACTGATCAAATATTTGATCATGTAAAAGTGCTGGCCCTCCTGAATGGGCAGAGACGGATCCAGCTTGTGATTCCTGTGACTGCCAGGAAAAGAAAAACGATGCCGTTATTCTCCTGACCTGTCCGTGCTCACAAACAAGAGCACTACCTCCCACAGAAAAGCCGAGGAAATGGCCGGGCAAGTCCTTATAAGGGAAACAAAGGCAAAGGGAGGGGTAGAGGATGGGGGGGGGGGGGGGGGGGGGGGGGGGGAGAGCGGGGGGGGGGGGGGGGGGGGGGGGGGGGGGGGGGGGCTGTCTGTGCCGTGTGTGGAAATTGGAAGGCCAGAATTAGTGGGAGGTAAAGCTTCAAAGGTAAGAGCGCGGCCCCCGCATTCTCACCAGCTCCGGGGGGATGTGGCGCCAGAGAACCAGAGCCAGCTCCTCAGCCTTTCAGTTTTAGTTTCTCCCACTGTGGTGCTGCCCGGACTCCAGTTTCCAAAAAAGCATCTCCATGCAGCCAGCATCTGTGGTCCGTTTAGGGAGCACAGCACCGGAAACCATCAGGGTCAAACGCAGAGGGCTGTGGTTTTAGGGCTGAAAAGTTATCTCTCTACAGTGAAATAAATGCAGATTTTGGTCAATTTAATGTTTTGGCCTCCAAGAAACTTCAGAACTTGTAAAAAAAAAAAAAAAAAAGTCAAACAATACTTTTAACTTGTTACTTCTCTAATCAAAACGTAAAAACTGTTTCAACAAGAGTACCACACACAGCACATTATACGCCATCAACAAACTATTATACAGCAGTCTATAACAATGGCACAACTTCTTTGTAATTTGACCTTGATTTGTGACCTTGACCTTGGTGCTGGGGTGATGAAAAATGTTCACAACATTCTGTCCATGATGCATATCTATATGAAGTTTCATAAAATTATCTTGAGCGGATCAGAAGTTCTGGGCGGGACAAGAGACGGTTTATGGATGGACGGAGACTCTGCCATAAGATGTGGGTGTATAATAATGCTGAAATTAGATTGATGAAATAAAAGATAAAACTGTATAAACATGTATTTATGCATGGTAAAACATAACGAGCAAGTCATTTGATAATTAAAACACAAACAATATGACTTCTGAAGTCTTACGAGTTTTTATTGTATGACTGATGACGTAAACAAAACACATATACTCTGCTTCCCCCTGCTTATGCTGGTTAAATATTTAAATAAAAATATACATCTGATTATTCTTGTAGATATTTGTTGCACTTATTCCAGCTGCTAATATCTGAAACAGATTCTGACATTCACTGCATGAAAACTGGATGTCACTGTGTGTGATAAAAATGTGTTTAAAGATGAAATTACTGTATATTTAAAATCACTTTGCAATGGTTCCCAACCCTGGTCCTTGAGGAACACCATTCTGCATGTTTTAGTTGTTTCTCTGCTTTGACACATCTGATTTAAATGAATGGGGGATTTAACAGGTTTCTGCAGAACATGAGGAAGTAATTAAGTCACTGAATCAGGTGTGTTGGAGCAAGAAAACAACTAAAGCATGGAAGATGGTGTTCCTCAAGGACCTGAGTTGGGAACCACTGCAGTTTGCAAGAGACAGAACCGCTGTGGTTTATGCAAAATCTCACAAGATCTGATGACATGACTGCGCTGACTATCAGCTACCAGACATCTGTAAAAGTGCTCTGAGCTATGCCCAGCTGTATGTGGGCTAAAGTCAGTTAGCTATGGCAGCCATTTGGAATTGGATTGACTCCAGGTGTATAGTCGATGATAATGTTTTAGTTTAATTGAAATTCGTGCAGCGATTCATGAGATATTTTACTAAAAACAGTTGATTCCAGTAGTTTTGATTTGTTAGCATGTGAGCATAAGCTGTCAATCAGTGTGATGCACAGCTCAACGTGTAAAAAACTTGTTAGTGTTTACAAGTCTGATTATTCACTATGGCCCTTCTAGGTAGAAAGGATGTATTTTAACATGAA